GAGAGAGAGAGAGAAGGAAACTCAGAATGAAAAGACATCCTCAGTGTGGAATTGAAGAGATTGTCTTTGAATCTTGTCTCATACCAACCAGGGAGAAGAGCACGGTGGGGGATGTTGCATGCAAAGCTGCAAAAAGTTACTTTCACCAAAGTCTGGATTTTCTGCCAAACATTTCAACTTAAAATAACCATAGTGCTATGGGCTGAATTGTGTCCCCCAAATTCGTATGTTGAAGATCTAACTGCTAGCACCTCAAAACGCAAATATATGTGGTCATAGTCCTTTAGGTTAAATTGAGGCGGTCAGGGTGGAGCCCGATCCAGTCTGACTGACGCCCTTATAAGGAGAGATTAGCAGACACCAGGAAATACCAGGGAGGACACAGCAAGCAGCTGCTCATCTGTAAGCCACGGAGAGAGGCCTCATGGTGCCAACACCGTGTTCTGCCGTGAGAAAATACATTTCTGTAGCTTAAGCCAACAGCCTGTGGCGTTTTGTTATGGCAGCCCTAGGAAAGCAATATACAGAGAGTCCAGAAAACAATTTGTCAACCAACTGCCAAACCAGCAAAGTCATCCATAGACTTGTAAAGAAACGATAGACCTTTGACAAGTGACTGTCCCCAATGTTAACGAAGGGTTAATGACACAGTAAGATGACTGACAAGTCAGGCACCGTGCAGTGGGAACCATGAGAGAGCCTCAGGACTTCAAGGCAGATTTCCATTAGGTGGGGTATCTCAGCAGAGGTATGGGTAGGTGGGTGGCTTGGAGGAGGAAGGAGAGAAGAGCAGGTTGAAATCCTTGGTGTCTTCTTGTCCTCTAGAAGCCCATTAAAGGTTTAATAATACAAATGCATGAAGGAAGCAACACAGCAGATTAAAATACATTTCAGTGACTTGCTTATCAAAGTGTTAATCTCTGCATTTATAAAATGTTACAGAAACACTAAAAAGGCACTGTTACCTAAAGCATTTTTTGTATTTTGAGGCAGGGTCTTGCTCTGTGGCTCAGACTGGTCTTGAACTCCTGGGCTCAAGCGAGCTTCACATCTCAGCTTCCCAAGTGTCTGGGACACAGGCGCAGGCCACCACATATAGCAACTGATTTATTACATGAGGAAATTCGTTCTCAGTCCCTCAAATCAGATGAGCCCAGGTTTCCAACTGGACCACGTGTACAAGTGAGGTCAGAGTAGCATTAACACAGGAGATTTGGTGGCTCAAGTCCCCACCTGCACACAAATTCTACTTGCCTCAAAAGTGCCCCCTCCCAGAGGTTTTTAATTTCTGGTTGCACAGTGCTCAGGGACAGGTGAGCAAATCTTTCTGTTCTGGTCTTCCCGGGACAGCTCACCAGACAGCTAGAGGCAGCTTCCAGTCACTGGCCAGGCCCCCTGGTCTTGCCCTGGTGCATCTGCCCGCCATGAAGACGCCCTTCCCACTGCTCAGCTCTCTCCTGCAGGATCCCCGAGGGTCTGTCACGGAGTGGGAGAAGGGGGAGAAGGCCCCTCCCCCAGAGCCCCCTTTGGTCTGCCCCAGAGGCACTTCGCTTTCTTCCCTGGCCCTGGCCTCCTTGTGTACAGAAGACTTGGCCCCAGCCAGCCCATCAGACTCCAGCTGGGCTGGGCTCCTTTCTCCTGGGTGCCTGCACTTGCACCCTTCCTCCTTCAGCAGGGACTAGAGCTCAGGTGCATCCTCTGCCCCTGGCTGCACCTGCATGTGCACGATGGGGATCCCCACACTCAGCTCCCTTGCAGCGAGGGGTCAGCCTAGACCCCACAGCACAAGTGCTGGGTTAAAGGTCCCTATCTGGTTTTGTCCCAATCCATTCTCTGAAGTCTGCCCCATGTGCCTCAGAAGGTAGAGGATTTCAGAAGAGAGGAAGGTACCATGCGGCCTAAACCAGGCTTGAGGTCCTCACTGTAGCAGGCGGGGGGCTGCAGCACACCACCCCCAACCAGTCTAGCGGCACTTCTGGATGCCACGCACAGGATGACGTCGGGTCAATCAGGTCAAACAAAGGTTTGCTTTTCAGAGTTCCTGGAGCTAGCAATTGCCTGGTATCCCTGCTCTGGGGAGAGTA